ATTCTACTACTTTAGCTGCTACTCCTACTACAAATCTAATACTTATACTACTAACTCTGTTAATGCTTCTACTAATTATCTAACTACTACTACTTACACTGCTGCCACTACTAATGCTACTAATCATATCCTCACTGGTGCTTCTTCTGCTAAAAAAACAACGATTACTACTACTGCAAATAGTAATATTACTGCTAATATTTATACCAATGCATACTACTACTATTACTACTATTGTAAATACTACTATGACTAATACTACTACGCACTCTTCCAATTCTACTACTACTACTATTACCACAACTTCTACTAGAATTAAGACTACTAAAATTGCTAGCAGTAATATTTCTTCTACTTATACTCATACTGCCACTGTTTCCACCCTTACTACTTATAATTCCACTTTTATTTCTACGACCACTTATCTACAACTGCTACTTCTACTACTACTAACACTTATACTGCTAATTAAACTTCAATTACTACTTCTGCTACTACTACTTCTGATACATCAACAAATAATGTTGACTCTGCTACATCGACTGATGCGATTACTTCTACTACGTGCACTACTAGAGCTCCTTCTATTATGCTGCTAATATTACTACCAAAAATGCTTTGACTACTACAGCTACTTATACTACTACCAATAATTCTGCTGCTTTTGCTTCTTTTACTACTACTACTACTACTACTCACACTACCACTACTACTACTACTATTACTACTAGTACTGCTACTACTACTACTACTGCTACTAATTCTATTTCTACTTCTGCACGGCTGCATTTATTGCCAATATTGCTAATACTTCATATACGATCAAAACTGCTGCTCCTGCCAATTATACAAATTCTTCTACTTCTATTACTTCTACGTCTACTAATACTAATACTTATAATGCTACCACGGCTAATACTACTTTTTGTACTTCTACTACTACTACTACTATCACTGCTGCTTCTGCTACAAGAATATCCACTACTAATGCACTTATCCTACCAATGCTCTGACTGCTCCTTCTACTAATACATCTACTCCTACTTATATTACTAATACTGATACCAATGCTGCTGCTGCACGAACAAACACTGCTACTAATTCTACCACTGCTAATACTTTTAGTATTATTTTTCTCTCCTTTTGCTGTCTCGGCCTCTCGGGAGGTGGTTGACGGGCGTTTTGCCTGTGTGCTTTGTGAGTCACCACTCCTTCGAGGGGAGTTGTTTGGACTTTAGTCGTGCGGTCGGTCTGGCGATTCTTCTTCTTCCTCACCGAGTAAACTCAGCGTCGGGCTATTTCCGTACGGCCTTCTTTAGTCCGGTTTGGTCCTGAGATCTACGATTGTGATGACGTAGGACTGCAGCACGCCGGGAGATAAAATTGCCGAACGATTTTACCTTGAGAACCTATTTGCAGCCAATGATTATCCCAGGCACTTCATCGAGAAAAGCGGACGTTGGATGCCCAGACAACGACCAAATGAGCAGCAACCCGAAGTCTGGAGGGCCATTCCTTACGTTAAAGATGTCTCTGAAGCGGTCTCACGACTGTTACAACCCACCAGAGTAGGCATAGTCCATCGACCACAAGCAGCAATTCGACGTCGCCTAATGCAGCCTCAGGACCCATTGCCACCCGCTGAAACCTCAGCAGTCACCTACAAAATAAATTGCAATGAGGGCGACGGCAACTATTTGGGCGAAACCGGGTGGAAGTTGCAAACTCGCCTACAGGAACACAAATCGACCACTCGGAGGTTAGACCCTAACTCTCAACTAGCAACACACGTTGGAGAAACGGGGCATACTTTCGACCTCCAGAGGGCTACTATCTTAGGCCGAGGCAACACAAAAACAGAACGACTAACTCTCGAGGCCTAGTTCTCCAATGCCCACTCTATCAACAGGCATCTGGACCTTCCTGCATCTTACGAAGTCCTACGTCATCACAATCGTAGATCTCAGGACCAAACCGGACTAAAGAAGGCCGTACGGAAATAGCCCGACGCTGAGTTTACTCGGTGAGGAAGAAGAAGAATCGCCAGACCGACCGCACGACTAAAGTCCAAACAACTCCCCTCGAAGGAGTGGTGACTCACAAACCACACAGGCAAAACGCCCGTCAACCACCTTCCGAGAGGCCGAGACAGCGAGAGGAGAGAAAAGTCGATCAGCATGAGGCCGGCCAAAACAACATTCCACTTCAACTTAAAGTGCTGATCGATTAAGTGCATATTACGCTCTGACAATGAAGAGCTGACCCAGATATTTGAAACGTCAGCACTTAAATAAACTTGTTGCGGAGAGCCTATCTTCATCTTTAAATAATCAACCCGGATATATCTAAATACCAGTAATATTAGGAGTCAAATTAATATCAGTAGTAGAAATAGTATTAGTAACAATCGGGAGATGGCACCCAAAAAATCCCTCACCTTGAAATAATACCTTTAACAGTGGATTCAAACGCCTTCAGGCTATATCAGCGTTTGCAGGCCTACTTTCACGTACTACTTGGACTTTCCCCAACGGCCTAACATGGGCTGACCGAATGAACATCGCAGGAGGTTACATGGACGATGGTCGCTGTTACCACCCATAAAACCCCTATTACAACCTGTCCCGTAAAACAGGCTGCTTTGGTAAGGCGGAATATTTTGGGTGACATCTCCCGATCGTTACCATCAACGGTCCATCAGACCTGCAAAGGAAATCATAGCGGGTCATAGACCTACGATTTTACTGTCGCTGGAAGGACGGTGATATGGTTCTAAACTGAACAGTAACCTGAAGAAAACGAATTAATTCGTGCTCCTTTTTCTGTATTAAGACAGCATGGACGGTTTGCAAACTCCCGAAAAAGACGTCACTTTCCGAATCAATCTGTTTTGGAAACGAAAGTTTTGCGCGCGTGAGGAAGCAGATAATGGTAGATTTTGAGCGTTAGCCACGGAAATATGCTGTGTCAGGCCCCAACGGAAAGTGGTACGCAAATGGGAACACGCGTGTCGTTTCTATTGCTGTAGGTGTCGTGTGTATTAAAAAAAGATTGAAGACATGTCCAGTCATTCAATGAATTAGAAAACGAAGTAGGAAATACGAAAAGTCCTTGACGGCTTTTGCCATTGGCATTGTCTGTGCAAAACGATCAATAAAATGCGGCAAGTCACATGACTAATTGTCCTTATTTTTATTGGGCACTGAATACGTCTACCTGGACGAGACGGGGTCTGCGATGGCGGTGGGTCAGACGAGTCGGCGTGGTTGGGTGGGATTGTTGTGTTTGACAGTTGGGTGGATGAATGAAATAGATAACTCCGGTGACGACACTCTAGAGGATTTGGGTTGCACATCTGGCGACGGTATGCATTCAAAACAGGTTATCTTATTGTTGTATTTGCCATTCAATACGATGTTGATTCTGCATGAACGGTACTCATTGGTGTCAACTAAGACGGTGTCTATCCTGTCAGCAGTTTGAACAACATAACACCCCTCTATCCTCTGGTGAACCTCCAATGGACTTTCGTGGACGAAAAACAGACGTTTACACACTGCGCAATGTCGAACGATAAAAATGAACGTATTTGAGGTCCCGGCGAACAATCACAGATTTGAATGCTAGAAAAGCAGGAGTTTCGGCAGTTGAGTCATATGTTCTTTCAGTTGTTGTAGTCAAATATTCTATATGGTGTCGTCTATGTAGGAGAATCTACAGATTGCCGGGACATGAGGATTCGGTCGATCTAGGTTTATTAAACTATTCATTATTCTGAGTGCTAGGGCTCCGTTCATTTCAGTTCAGTTCAGGTTATTGCCAACCCTACCTCTCTTTGTCTTTGTGTTCTCATTTCTCCCATTTTACTCACAATTATGTTTACTCCTGTTAGTAGGCGTAAAATACGGAGTCAAGCACGTGGTGCAGCGGAAGAAATAATACGAAGAATCAGCTAAGAGGTGCGGGAAATGCCGTCGTCGGACACATCATTGACGACTCTATGTCCTCAACTTCTC